CGACATTAAACTGTTGTAATGCCGGAAGAATTCCAGCTAGGAATTATTCCTGTTTTTTTTTTTTAAATTCTCCAAAAACGTAGTATAACAAGGTGAAAGGAAGACTGTATCTCTCCGGTTAAGGAACTTATCAGCGGTTGGGGTTCCATTGCCATCCAACATTTTTTAAGGATGTCATCCTTGTCAGAATGCAAAAGAGGTGCCACCACAGATGGCATAAATCAATTTACAATTATTTAATCTGTCTGAGTGAAATTCTATTAAGCATGTTCTTATGGATAAGTAATAATATGCAACCTCCATTTGGGGTCACTTTTAAAAGTATGCCTCCTGACTCTTCAGTTACACGAACACCGTCTTGCTTAAAACTGCAGAGTGGTATTCTCAGGAAGTGGTCTTCACAACAATTGTGGCAAAAAGGGTTCATCCATTTAACGTCATTCCTATACATTCAGTCATTGTATGCATCAATCACTTGCTACTTGAATAGTGGTAGTAGCAGTATAAGAACTTTTTTATAATCATGTTTCGATGCTTGATTAAGCGGAACTTTATCATTTTGATCCATGTATCTGTTAATTTCCCCCATGACATTTATCGAGTAGACACTAATTCTTCCAAATGTAATGTCCTAGATAAATGGAGTGAAATTTAACTGCGTTAGTGCTAAATTTTAAACATATTTTTTATTGTTCAGTCATTATTCTCCTGCTCAATTAAATCTTTTGCACATAAAATACTTATGGATGTGTGAGTTCAAGTTAAACAGATTAGGCGAAAGTTAGCTGCCATCTACTGTATCCCACAGCATAGTGGATAAAATGGAGCAATCGATTTGTCTACATTTTAATCAACCCTGAATTCTACTAAAGGCAAGTCTCCTCTGTGCACAGACTAAAATTTCTAGGTTTTGTTTTACTCGACCGCATTTTTATGTTCGAAAATTGCAATACTTTATTAATTATTTAGTTATTGGACAATTTTAGCCAGGTTTTTTGGCACAATCCGATCTTTTCAAACTTCATCTGGATTTATAAAACCATTGAGTTCGTTCGAAAGTTTTATGTGAAAAGTCACCATTGGCTAAATTATTCATGGACATTATAATGCTCTTTCTGGAAAGAGGCGCTTATTATTATGAAACTAAATACTACAAAGTTTGGACAAATAATAAGATCTTTGAAACCGGTGGTACTATGCTAACTTGAGTGCATTTTTGTGATATCATAAGGACGGTAATTCTTAAGTAATTACGTCTTCGGCTAACCTTTCCGGAAAAAATTTTCCTTGATATCTCTTAGCTTCAAAAATCTTTTAGGTAAAACTACAATACTGTCACAATAGCTTGTTGCACCTGTATAGTTACCTGAATATGGATTTTGATAGTTGCCGGACTTTGAAATTAACTCACATCAAGCGAATGGTCAAGAGGATCCAGTGTCATCGGATGGCATCATGAAAACAAACTCTATCCACGTCTGAGTAATCGACATTGCCCATATCTGTAGCTGACCCCTCATATAAGGCATGGGAAATGTGAGAGACTTGAAAAAGTATCTCCTTCCCTCTCTGTGCATTGGACTTTGCGTTTGTGTTGTTCTTTTTAGCTCTGAATTGTGTTGACAGTTATTAGTTAAGGCAGACCTTCCCTAACGGCAATTATCCCCCTCTCATTCGTACAGTTCTTAGACTGTGTCCTCTTGATTAATACGAAACATTAACGTCCTCACTTAAGGTTGAATCAGTTGTGTGGGTACCTCCATCTTCGTGCTAGTGCAAATCTGTGTTCACTTTGAGAGTGTTTTTATTCAGTGCTAACTTTGAAGTTTCGTCAAGTTAACGGTAAAAGAAAAGGCTACCAAGTGGGACTGGTTTTGTACAGACAGAACAGAACAGAACAAACAGAACAACAGAAGTTAAGCTTATTCGTTAACTGGGTTTGGCTTTTCGAGAACAATTTTAACACATACTTAGCCACTAAAGCCCTACAACTGTGAGCCCTAACTCGGTTTTTCGGCTTTAGTTTGCATCTTAGGTTGTCAAACATAGTTTCTACGACGTTAATTGCGTGTTTAACCCCGAGTTTTAGCGGCAGGCCATTTATAAGCTCAAATATCGTGCCTCCCACGAACGACCTTGCCTTTTGGCCGTACAAGTAATTCTCAGCCCTTCGTTATGTCAGCAAGGGCACAGCTCCCTCCCTTAGTTCTAGTAAGTTGTTGCATCTTTAGGGGAGTCTTTGATCTCTGCATGATTACCAGTAAATAGAGACAATAGCTCCTTCGCATGAACTCGATGCAGAGGCAGAAAACACTACCAATAAACCTCTCTTTATCACCCATGTACAGACAGCTCTTTTCATTTTGAGGCAGCAAATCATTGAAGTTCCCACACCAGTGTCAGCAGAGCTTCGTTTACAACGCCCGTGTGTGTATGCATTTCAATAGACTTTTAAATGTAGGACGATTGTGACTCCAAGATGGCTTAAAGTGCCTGACTGTGGCATCATCTCCTCCTCTGTAGCTGCCGTTTTATTGTGTTTGTCAAGTATCTGCTAGACCGCTGCCTTTCATCCCTCTTGAGTGCAGCTGGGATCGTAGTATTCTCGCCACACCCTCACGCAAATAGTTCAGGTAAATGTTTTGACAAATTTCGCCTTTTCGATAAAGTGGAGCAAAATTAATGACAAAAATCAATAGTAGCTTAAGGTTTGAGAAGAAAATGTTTCGAGGCCATCGCCTTTGAGACCTCAAATGCAGGGCTTAGACACTTCACACTGTGACTTGAGCTGCTAAGGCATTTGACTTTTTCACTTCAGCAAATGAGGGAGGTTACGATTTCAACAGATTTCTCAATGTATTCCTATAAAACTATCCCTTCGTTGCTTAGCGGTCCTTGTTCAGAATTACCCAAATCCGCTCGCTAATAACTAGTTGGCACACCAAGTGAGAAGACTGGGATTTGAAACCTGTTCTTTTCTCATGAGTAAAACATCAATTTATTCAAACTGAAATTCACCAAGCTGTTGTTCTTTGTACCTAATGGAACGGTAACTATTTAGGCTGTCTTGAAGCATTCCCATAGGTTCACCAAATCAGTACTAACGCAAGCGCAAAAGTCGACTTCGGAATGTCAACCATAGCATATGGACAAATATACTGTAAGACCATAACAGCAGTCTTTCAGCCTTGAACCTTCGCGATATTGAAGACAGCTCTACCTACAGCATTCGAGTTCTTGACAAATCACACGTCCTTATGGTCGAACACCAGGTAAGCCATTCAAAATTACCTATTTAAATGTTCATTCTATAGCCTTCTGTTTTTGTTTAAACGAGCCTTGGATTATTTAGGTAGAAAATTTCGACCCAATTCAATTTAACAATAAAATGGCACTAACTACTTTTGGCTTGAATGAGCCCTCACCCATGTTTCCGGCGAATACTTTGTTGCCTTCCTTGCAAAGCTTTACCCTTGCATTAGTATTCTATTCCAACCTTTTTCATTGAATTTAGTGAATTGAAACGGTAGATTTTTGACCTTCTGAAGTCTAGTTTAAGTAAACTAGTCGAGTCATATGGAGAAATTAGATACAGACCCCGAGACCGTCCTGACAATGGCAGCGAACGTAAAGCGCATTGGAAGAGATTGAGAATGGCATTACCAAGACGAACCGCAAGTATGATCAATGGATTCGTAAGTTTCCGCTTAACCGAAACATCACTTCATCAAAATAGTCAAATAGTTAGGCAGTAATTTGGTCTAGTTTACTCTGCTGTGAAATGTGACTTGAAATTGGCCTTGATCATGTAGTAGAGAACAAA